AAAACGAAGCGAAACGAAAAAACTACAATGAAAACATGCTTACAAGACTTGTGGACTCGAGGAATAAGTGAATAGACTAGTGAGAAAACAATCGAACATCCAAAACGAATTTTTGACCTCTGCAAGTACGAGCACATGGTTTATCCAATAATATTTAACAGCTTAAATGACGTAATTGTACCAGTCCCGCGCGGACTGAACACGAGAAACAAAGTAAACAATTGTAGAACGTTTTGCAACTTACAATCAATTCTGTGAGGTTTCCTTGGTAAGCAGATATGCATCAAATCTATGTGATTTATAAATTATGATGTATTAAACCACAACGATTGTTTACTGAATTTCATCAAAGCGGAATTGCATCGCGTTGTGGCACATAAAGTTGCCAAAGTTCCATAGTTATTCAGTACTTTTCAAGGCGGGGCTGGGAAACGGACGGCCGTCTATTCTTTAACTTTTCGATTTTACGGAGAAACAAAGTGCAATGGAACTTGTTGATATAATTTCTGAAAAAGATTTATCAAAAGGATCCTTTAGGAAAATAATATGAATTACGAAATTTTGTAACAGTCCTTTTACTAAAAAATCATATCTTCGTCGCGCGCAGTGAAGATATCATTTTTACTTTCACATGTAAGGATATCGGTGTCGCCATGGTTACTAACATGCTGTTATAGAATTTTTCTCCTCTTCATTAGAATTTTGACTTTTTGGAACAGAAAATGTAAGTATTATCGTCTTTATTTCCCCCTTATAACTTTGTATCCGAGTTTCGTAACATTTTTGTGACAGGCGATAGGTGACCACTTTAATTGCACTATTTTGCTGTTTCGAAAATGAATAAAAAAAAGTTTTGCTTTACGTGGAAATTTCATTAGTATCTATAGAATAAACAGAACATTACAAGGCCGCTTGAGGATACGAATTATATCTTCTCGAACAGAATTATCTGTAATTCGTTCGCTTCGCTCACTCGTGAGAGATACCTACAGTACTCGAAGATAATATTCCTATCCCCGCGTATCCTATATCTTTGCAATCATTTTTTTCGTAGAAATGAATATATTGCATCACAATACTTTACTGGCAGGTTTCGAGCTCATACAAATTAGAAGGAATTGTACGGGAGAAGACGCTTGGCCTCAGTCAAGTTTTTTTCAGTTTTTTTTTTGTGCTTCGCATGAATCATTATATTTTTCTAAGTTTTGTATCCGAGTAAACTCAATTTTAAAGAAAAATTCAAGAAATGAACTTCTTTCAGTTCGTTTCCTAGCCAGATGGTGATAAGATCAAGCGGAAGAAAACTAACCGTGAAATACAATGTACATAACATATCTCATTGACTGGGGTAATACTAAACTATGGATCGGCAGCCCGTTGAACCTCCAGAACCAGCAAAGCCTGCAGAAACAGCGGAACCTACATAACCATTCATTTTTTGTAAAAAACAACAACAACAAAAAGCTAATAAAATAATATTGAAACAACAACAACAAAAAAAAAAAGCACCGCATGTTCTGGTCTAAGGAAGATTATGATAACAGAGAAATATGTCTTATACAGCAATCGTGAGTCTGCCAGGTATGCAAATATGTTAACGTTACACAATGGGCGAAATATTAGGATTTTGGCACGGGAATGAACAGTCGCGCGCTCAACCTTAAACAAATCTGAACCCCTGAGTCTTGAATAAACACAGATTTACCCCATTCAAGTGGTTGTTCTTTTGCATCTTGTAAAAATTCTTGGGCTGATTTAAGGCCATTAAGCTCGGTTATTATTCATCTGCTTTCCCTAATTCTCTCCAAGGTACATGAGTAACGCCAACCCAACAAATCCAGTGGAAGCGAAACGCTGTAAATTCGCTCCGGACGCCTCGATCACGCCGAAATTCGATTCCACATGCATCACGGATGGTGATATTACTTTACGCCCGGGTTCCTCAGTCGAGGGTCGTGCACAATAAAATGGAATTAAGGGCCGTCAATTTCAGCCTAAAGGTTTGCTCAGCGCCTTCGTATATGAAACTCAACCGTGTTTTCTTGTGTATCATGCAAGTAATGAAAGGGATCAGAAAAAAGAATCTATCCAAGAGTTTGTCTTGAGTGTTTACTGCCGAGACTGTATCAGTGGTGTTCTCTGTAAGGGAAACCTTTCCGCTTTCTTTAAATTTTTGCTAAAAAAAAAAGAAAAAAAAAATTGAGTAACCATTAAAGTTTCCATTAATACGTTCCTCATGTATTTCCGGCCGTATTTGAGTAAATACGAACCTGGAGTTTTATTTTACTTTTCAAAAAAATTCAAAAACAAAACAAAACAAAATGTCTCTCTCTAGTAGAATAACTTTAACAGGTTTGAAGGAGAGCTTTGAAAGTGCAACTTCTGCGAGTCGCTCTGTGAATAATCACACCTGCTCTTCTCTGCCAAGCCGCTATAGCTATAAATACCCGCTTATTTTACTTTCCGCACCAAACCCACTCTGTGTCGCATTAATCTAGAGTTGGTCTAATAAGGAAATAAAAAACTACCGATTTCTGTTTTGGCCTCCAATGCTGCATGCTTATTAACGATTACTTTTCAAATCTTGCTTTTGGTTATTTGAAAAAGGCCTTTTAGATTTGATTGGGAAACTATATGAAATTTAGTTTTTATGGTTGAAATAGTGAATTGCTCTTCTGTTCAGAATAACGATACATTTTGTAATAACATATGCATTTTGTTCATAATGGTTACAGCATTTTGTAATAACTTGTGCACTTTGTAATAGGTATCGCAGCAATTTGTAATACTCGTCTGTTTTCGCAATTTGTACTAATTTTAATGTTGCCGCAAAAACATACAGAACTGGACAGAAGTAATGCACAATGATTATCGTCAAGTATCACGCTTTGTTCTTCCGAGATATTACATAATTTGTATCGGCGGTTTCTCGGAACAAACTTTATGATGTTTCCTTGGACTTATCATTCTTGTAATAACTAATTGAATAATGTGTCCCTTTCTATTTAAAAAAAAAAAAAAAAAAACCAAAGTGGTGCTTAACAAATCATTATTCGCAAGAGGGAAACCGCAAGTATTCATTTCGTGAAATAATACCGTGTTGCAAGATTTCAGAAACATAAAACGCCGCAGGATTTTTCTACAAATTGCGTAGATTTTTACAAAATGTTATAGCCTTCATTGCAAAATATGTGGCTTGCCTTTAATGCAAATGTTGCGGTACCTTTTCCAAAATGCGTAAATTATCACAAAATACTGCAACCGTTTTAACAGAAAGGGGCGTTATTACAAAATGCCGCAGAAGAATCGTCTTTGGAAAAATTGTTTTTTTACCTTTATCGAGGACTAAAGGTGCACTAGCTCCTCGGAAGTGGGAAAATCATTAAACACCTCAAAAGGAAGGAGGGAAGGAATTTTTAAGCAAAGCTATGGCAAAAGTATCATCAATAGTAATTAGAAAAGTAGAAAAGGAACGAGAGAGAACCTAAAAAACATTTTGCCTGCAGTTTCCTTAACTGCGTGTACCCCCCACAGTTTTTAACACCTTTTAATAAATGATGCCTTTGCATGTTAAAGAGATTTTACAAGATCCGTCGATAAATGAGCCAAATTGAATTTAAAGGTTTAAAGGTGCAATCCGATAAATGTTTTACTCATTTTTTTAAGCTTGAAATAGTTGTGTTGTCTTAGATCGATTTGCTTGAAATAAAGCTAAAATTTTCATTCCATTTTCATTAGGTCTGTGCATCTTAAATTAGTGCTGAAAAAGGTCAAAACCGGCTTTTAATAAACCAACTGCCTGTGCATATAACCTCGCAAAATATGTTGTTTGCTCAGTTAAAAAATATGTCGGTTATGGTTTATTTTAGGAAAACACGCTTTTAGGTAACTGTTTGCACGCCTTAAGTGCTGGTTTGTTCAAAACAAATAATGAAACCCGTATCGCTTGTTCACTAAAAAATATTAATTCGATATTCTCTGTGCCACGAGATCATTTACCTTTCGACCTCGATCGAGTGGTGTGTCCTATTGACAGAGGTAGGTATTTGTGGCATTTTGTGACCTATCTGGCCTTAACAAGGGCAAAATTGTATTAGATCCCGGTCTGAGGAATAAAGTTTTATATGATTAACTGCCTTTTCGTTCAATAAGTGCAGCAGACCAGCTTGGACTACGACGATATTGGCTAACAGATACTTTTGCCTTCAAGCTGAAGTATATGGGTGCGGTCAACATGATGAAGAAGGGATTTCTCATCTTTCTGATGATAGAACTAGGTAATATGCCTTCAATATGAGCAAATTATCATAGGACTTCAAAACAAGACAGGAAGGTGGGGTTCCGCGGAGAGACGAATTGTTTTTACTTTTTTTTTTTTTGAAATCCCACATCGATAGAACTCTTACGGCAACGTAACTAAGTGTGGCTCCATCCCAAGTGAAAAGATATGTTTTGAATATCTATCTCTCCCAGTTGCAAATAAAGAATAGCCTTTAGTTTTCGTAATGCTCAACCCTCGATATAAATAAATATTGTCTTCCATGCAGTCAGCATTACTAGTATTTTAATAGACTCATCTTTCATTTCATCTCTCAGTAATGCAGACACCTATTCAGGATAGGAGGTTAGTATGTTAGAAAACTGAATAAAGGGGTCAGTATGTAAGAAAACCGCATAAAAGAGGTAACTTTCTAAAGAAACTGTGGTGCTGCGTCGGCAGGGGTAACGAGGTAATGTGGTTTTATCAACTATGTAGAAATTGTAAATTTGCCACCGTAAAGAGTTAAAAAGCTAACGTTTCGAGCGTTAGCCCTTCGTCAGAGCGATAGACGAAGGGCTAAAGCTCGAAATATCAACTTTTTAATTCTTTACGGTGGCCAATTTACAATTTCGGCTATGCTAGAAAACAACTATCTGCGAACGCTTTTGCATTTGTTCTATCAGCACAGTAAACCTTTGTATAAAGTACATATTTATCCTTTCAGGCTGACACGGTGCACTCGTAATTCTTGTTTTCGCCGCAATTTCCTTCCCTCAAGAGGTTTACAGCTAAGGCTTTCCGCTTACAACCTAAGGCGTCCTTCTAACATGATAAGGCAGACAGTCATTAGAACTCCGCTCCAAATTACGCCCCCGACCAGTAAAGTCACCACAAGCAGCGGCGCTAAGACCACCCAGGGTATATCTGTTAGATACAGTTCCCTGATAGTGACAGTGGCACAGAATACATCATCAAGTGGCAAAGCTGCAACAAGTATCCCATCACATGTTGGAAATTCTGGTCTCCGTAACGCAAGCGCATTCTATAATAGCACACAGGGGCCGGCAACAGCGATCTCTTTTGAAATTTCATGCGCTAGTAGTGGTAATGGTTTTAACACAACCCAAGTTACTCCTTCTGAGAAAAAGTTTAAAGTGAGAATAGCCAACAACGATAACATCGCCAACCATAGTGGACAAGAAGGCGGCCAAAACCTAAAGAAGACTCAGGTGATGTTTTCCCATGCATTCATAACTCATTAAGTAGGACCACAATTTGCGGTTGTATACACTCCACCTTTTATATCACCTACATTACCCGAGACCCAATGAAGAAAAATAGCAGAAACAAGGTCTATCTTCTATCAAGTTAAAAGCAAATCCCTCAATTGCTATTTTTGTTATTGCTGTGGCTTTTTTTTTCTTTTCTTTAATCGAATGTAATTTGAAGCCTTCAATCTTTTCTCTGATGTCTTAGAAAAAAATTTCTTTCAGCAGCCAGATGAGGGAGGCATTCAACAAATTCAAGAATTCTTCAAGAGTAAAGGCTGTATTCCGGCGTCGTTTGACGAGGTAAGAAACCTTTTGAGAATAACGCTTAGTGAAAACGTAAATGGTAAGTTAAGCTGCAGTTTCACTGCCTTGTTCTTCCTAACAGGTATATATATATATACACAAATTTAATATCTCATGTTCACGACAATTGCAATATATTATTGGCACATGTTTCTGATGAAAGGGAAACTCATGGTAGCGATACATTTTTGAACAACAGGAAGTAGAAGAATTCATTTTCAAGAATCCTGCAGATACCCAGGAATCAATGAAACACGACCAAGTACTGAATACCATCGAGACGACACTGATGTCTATTTCCATCACAGCAGAAGTAATTTCCTTTGCATTCCTCTCAGTTATAAGGTACGTAGTGCAAGTTTAGAGCTAAGAAGCAAAAGCAAAGGGTTAGCAGTTATCGGTGATCGGTGCGTGAAAGAGGGGAGAGGTGATGAGGGATAGGGAGAGGGGNTTCTACGAAAATGGACATTTCTTCTTGGTTATGAAATAAGTCATCATGAATAAACAGACTAAAGTTCATGTTTGCTTTAACCTTGGCAGAGTTCCAAAGTCGGAGCGGATTTTCGTGCACAAGAATTTGCTCGTATCACTGGCTCTTGGACAACTGGTTTACGTTCTTGACGTAAATAACTTCCCAACAAGAAACGTGCACCATGTAAGTACAGTACAAAAATTTTCTTTTTGTCTTGTAATACGCATATAGTTTAAAAGGAAGAATAGAGTGCCTCTCAACTTAAGTCCTGATTCATAAAACCAGCGATGAACAACGTTCAAAGAACAGAAGTATATATTTCATGAACCCTAGATATTTGTTTGAATTAATTTGTTTGAAGTTTGAATTAAGGAAAGTTGGATGGGGGGGGTGATCTGCATGGCGTAGGTCGTTGTATTTAACGCTGAAATATTTACCTAGGTTTAAAAGCATTAGCCGGTTTTTCTTTTCAGACCATATGCTCCGCTATTTCTGTCATCCAGCACTATCTGCATACTTCCCTTTACACATGGATGTTGGTGGAAGCGATAAACCTTTACGCAAAGATAGTGAAAGTTTTCACTTTTGGAAAGTCCTATGCAACATACACCATGATTGGATGGGGTAAAGCTATGGAAGAACTTTTTCTTCTTGTGCAAAGCTCTGGATCTGTTTTTATTTTTAATCTCGTTAGTTCTGCATTAGTGTAAAGAGTCAAGCCAGCAATCTTTTTAAAATTTGTTGTATTCTAAATACATAGGTATACCAGGGGTCATCGTTGGTTTAGTGGCAGCAATCCAGCCTTCAACATACGACATGAGTACAATTTTGTACAAAAACATTACTTGCGGAACACTAAAACTCACAGGAACAGTTGACAGAGAAAGGTATCTTAAATGAGAAGATATTGATCAGATTAACAAATAGCCCACTGATATTTGCCTTGTACCAAGTATTGGGTACGGGTTGAAACTGTTGAAACTTGGACTTTCTTTTAGGGTTCTTTAGAGCAATTCCTTTGCTAAATCACGCCTGCAAAGATTATTTCCTCAATTATACAATAAGGAAGTACTGCTACTTTCATTGTAAACGGTTCTGCAAGTTTCGAAAAGCTCATTAATAGGACAATCACATGACCTTTGGAGAGCATATAGTTTTATTTATGGCTCGAGTAGCATCATTTGCGCCCAAGCGGAGCACACTTTGCCGTTTGGTCCGCGAAAAGGAGCGTTTTAGAGAGGGCAGTTTGCCATTTTGCCGCGTGTAGCGGTAATAATATCCATTAACAAAGTGTTCCTTGCAACTCAGTTTTAGCCAACTAACCAACAGGGTACCTTGACCATATAATCTGTTTATTTTGATTTCGATGGTTTCAGATGTTGGCTCAACGGAAATGTCTGGAAGTTTAAAGGACCCGTGCTGGCCATGCTTCTGGTTAGGTCTCATCATTTGTGTTCATAACTTAAAAAGTCATTGTGATCAACCTTCAGTCTTTAATTTAAGAATGTTTGAAAGATGTTTTGATGCATTAAAAAGCGTTTTTCTATCGGGCCCTATGATTCTCATCATCGGTTCAAAAGCTTGTAAATCTGGTCGCAATAGATGTCGAATGTACCTATTTAGGCTACCCTGTAGGAATCTGATAAAACCAAGAAATTGACAGCAGCGCGAGTGCTGTCAAACCAAGCATTTAACGTGAAGAAGAATTGTTTCCATACACTTTTGTAGGAATTTTGTTGTAATCCTTGTCAGCTTTAGCTAGCAGAAAATAAGTGAATTCAGAAGCCCTTGAATAGCACTAGCGAAATTAATCACCACATCGTCTTTAAGCATTCAACAGGAAACTGGCTTTTGATTGGAGAGTCTTAACACTTCGAATTTTCGTGGAAGTGATAACTTATGTGATGTTTGGAGTAAATAGTTAACAACATTTTTTCGCGCTTCTCTCACATGTAAGTTACATGTAGAAATGCAACCTTTTTCCTTTCCCTTGTTACACTCCCGCACACGTTCATTGCTTTTGGAGCGCTCTTCGACTGGGTGTCATAACACAAAAACCAAGATAATCAAAACGCGGGTCAATCAGAAGAAACGAAAATACCTACATTAGCCAACTTCAACTCGAAGTACATCGACCAAACTGCGTAAAGCGTGCTAAAACGCGAACGACCAAGAGGTAACAAGTTTTATTTTTGCATCTGATTGATGGAGAAAGTAATGCGAGTTTTCACAGGGCGAAGAAAAGAAAAAAAAACAAAGCAGTACAGGATTCCTTTTTACGCCCAACTGAACATTCCTCTATTTTGAGTTTTTACATTAGGACCTTGCCTTCTTTTTTTGTCTTCTCTACAGGCAAATCTTGGGGTCTTTATCATTGTTCTTCGAGTTAGCTTTGGAAAAATTGGAAGCACAAGTTATCTCCAGACCACAAGGTAGAAATAAATCTGCTGTCGTAAGCGTGCAGATAAGGTTTCTTTGCCAAATGCACAGGAGTATTTTGTTATTCGTCCACAATTTATAGAACAAGAGGGAAAACCTTTCCTCCATTGCGTTTTACTTAACTTTGAAAGTGTGGAAAACTGCGCGAAAAAGCGCACGAGAGACATACATGAAAATATCATGAATGTATTCAGTTCAGGAGACGCATTCACTGTACGACTTCCAAAATCGACCTCTACAATCTGTACACGAGCAGAACGTGTCACAAGAAGTAGATTCACTGCACGAGTTTAATTCGTCGCTAAATCGTCGTGTTCCCCTGCTAGCGAGTCCCTGAATCAATACGACGAGTGTGCGATGTATAGACAGAGTTTTAGTTCAGACTTTTCAGTCAATATCAATACAAGATTTTACGTCAGATATCCCCCAGAGATTTAAATTAGATTAGCATCCCTGCTTAGTAAGTCAGAGTATATTGACCGCAATGAAATTAGGCAGTTTAAGAAAACCAGCACGGCAAAGAAACAACGTGAAATGACCAAACTTTGCGTTGTTTGGAGAGCGTGAAGGACGACGGCTAAGTATTTAAATTTCTATTTCTAATTTATTAGTGTTTTTCATAGTCACTTTTGAGATACTTTCGAAAATGAGAAACAAACTAAACGACTTAAATGCATCGCGAGTTTCGTAGATAAAATACAAGTTTATTGTCAGGTCGATATTGTCCACGGCGACGCCGTCTTTGTTTCTTAAGTTCCCTATTGAAGAAATCGTGACAGGCTCTTCTTTCTTTCCAGAAAAGGACTAAAAGCTATTTTCGCTTTGCTTCCATTGTTGGGTGTAACGTTTTTGCTGGGATTTATTGTTGAATTTCATGCTGCTGTGGAATATGCCTATGTGCTATTGAATTCCATCCAGGTAAGTTGCATGACGCAATTAAAGCGGATGGTTATTGATGCGGTTGCTTTCATTTCCCATAATGATTCTAGATCCAGATTAAAAATAATTTTTACAAATAAATCCAAATAAAGGGTGTAAACGAAACAACTAGCTTCACAGGGAGAGTACCTAATGACCTCTGGTACGATTTCGTGGTTACAACATAACGGAGCTTTTTCATTAAGTTGGGCACTCATTTTCTTAGCAAACTACTCTAATTGCATTCTCTTTAAATTTTTTAGGGTGTTCTGCTCTTTTTTTTTCCACTGTTTACATGATGACGAGGTGAGCATAACCACCTATAATAATTCTTGTTCTGCTGTATTTTTTTTTTTTATTTTTAGTTGAATCTCTGGATTCTTAGCGAATTCCAATTGAGTGTTGAAATACCAACACCAAATCAAAGTGTTTAAAATGAAAGAATGTATGCGGAACCGAAAAGAACTTGGCACTGAAATAGCACAATTGAATGAAATTTCGCGTTCTGGTTGGTTAACGAAGTGAGGTATTTAGCGTGAATTGCGAGTTGAAAACGAGGCTAAGTAATATAGTTTCGCATCTACATAAACATAACAACTATAATTAATGCTGTTTTTTTTTATTCAATTATGCGATTCAAAGAAAATCCAATACTTGACTCGTGAATTCCGCGTTAAGTTGCACTTGAAAACCGATATCCTACTCATCGCTTCGCGAGTAGCGCGATATCGGTTTTCGCGAGCAGTCTCAATGCGGAATTTCCTTGTCAAGTAATGAATTTTCCGATAGAATTCTCAAAATTAATGAAGTACGATAAAACGTTAGCAAGCAAGTAGGAATTGGCTGTAGTTCTTAATCTGATAGACAGAGAAAACGATGTGAGTTTTCCACACCGATCACAGAGCAAAGTCTCCCCCCCCCTCTGTTCTCCCTGAAAACCATATGAGCCCCCTCCCAAACCCCCCCCCCCAAAAAAAAATTAAATCTCATCTCTTACTCGATCCTGATTGTAAATCATATCAGTCATTCATACTTTTTAACTTCAGTAGTAAACGCCCTGGAATTTCTCAAATGCTTTAACCAAAAAAAAAAAAAGAAAAGAAAATTGTATTTCTGAATAACACATAGTTACCATATTTTTTTATTTCCTTTGCAAACAAATATTTCGATACGTCGCTGAAGAAAATTCTTTATAATTCCCTCACCAGTTTACTTTGATTGTGATTGAACGATATAGCATGCAAAATACTGAAAATCTACTTCCATGCATGATGAAATAAGAGAGAATTTGTTACTATTAATCAACTTTTTTCGCTGGTTTTCTTAGGTTCGTGATGCCATGAATAAAGTGTTGCGTAAAAAGAAGCATAATCTCCAGCAGTTCAAACATGAGCCCAAAAAAGTAACGGAAGAGGCTTCCAAGAAAGCATAAGGTGGGTAGTCATGTGTAAAAGAAATTTGCATCGATCAGAACAACGAGTACAAACGAAAAAAAATTACAAAATACCAAGACTAATAATACCCTGGTGTTCTCTACCTGCATCATGCGCTGAATAAACAACAGACGGTTTTAAAGAAAGATATTGATGTGTTAGATACAGGACAGTTTCTGAGCTATTTCCTTTCCGGTCCAGATATGATAAGCAAGGTACCCTCATTAACAACGTCTTACTGAAATATTTAACCAGTGACGTTTTGGAAAGGCTGCGTCATGGTCTTGTTGAATAACTAGACAAACAAACAAACAAACAAACAAACAATTTAGTCAATTACGCAATTTACAATTTCCGATTCTTCGTTCTCAGCAGTCCTTAATCCTTCTTCGTTGAATCTTTCCACTGTTCCTGCTTTTTTACCTTGGATCTTTATTTTCTTAAAATTGGTTGAGTTTTTTTTTCGGCGGTGAATGAGAACGGGAATTTTAGTCATGTTAGTCCTTTTACTTGTCAAGTATCTTTAACAAGAGAAACGCTAAACTGTACTGGACAAGCGTGAATCGAAGGGCATAGCGTTCTTTCATACTATTTCATAGTATAATAAACTAATAACTATTTTCTTGTTTTCTTTTAAAGGACAGTACAATGTTTTCAGTGTTGATTGAAACGAGAACAAATGAAAAACTCATATTTGAACAACAGTCGAGGCGATGAAAAACTGAGAACTGAAGAATCAGCCACTCTTCTGTAAGAAGTTTAAAAAACGTAGTATTTAGAATTAACAAAAGAATGTCAATAAGGTTGAAAAATTTGTCGAAGGAGGGAGGCTCACAAACCGAAGCAATGATTTCAAATCTTTTCCTTTTCATACAACTCCAAAAATTCATGGCACAGAGTACTTAACAAACATTGAATTATTCAAGAAGAACATCGAATGCGAATGCAAAATTTGAATGTCTTTAACATGCAGTACATTGTTCAAAAATAACAAGTAAGAAAACTAGATTCTGTTTGTGAATCGAAAATTTCTCAAAATAAAGGAAAACCTTCGTCTTACAGTTAGTGGCATGGCATCATTACCTTCCTAAACCACGTAAAGAAGTTGGAGAGTGTTTTTTGAAAGGGCAGTTGGTCCTTTTCCGAGACTAAAGCCAATATTCTCTCTAGCTTGGTTCACAAAATATTTACCACCTAACCAAAAAAGAAAACAAATGGAAGGACTGCTTAGAAAGTGATGCACGGAGCGGGAAGATGTTATCAAGTTGAATGACTGTCTTGAAGCTGTTCAAACTGAACACTTCAAGACAAAATCTCTTGGACGTTTGCTTTCATCCTTGAAGCAGGAAAGAGGAGGGGAGAGGGAAGGAGGTAGTTTCGGTCAAAATCCTTTAATTTTCTTCCCCGTTTCTCACTAGATATGTTGAATTATTTCGAACGAGTTCTGCTGCGACACTTTCGTGATAGACACCTCTTGTCGCCAGATCTACAATTGATGTGACCATCATTTTACATTAAATTTTAACCAGCTGAATTAAACAGCCATTTCAATATAACTTGAATACTATAACTATATAAAGCGTTGATATAACTTTGAACGGCTGAACAGCTGGTCAATGCTATTATTCACTCACAAGGGGAAATCAACTGTACATGTAGGTGCCCTAAGCTTCGAAGCTAATACTCGTTGCTCCGCTTTGTTTAACCTTTGTACTGTGGACAGCTGAATAAAAAGCCATTTTCCACTTACTAAAGCACGTCACACATGGAATTCCGAATAACGCTGGAAATACTTAAACAATTGCAAACTTAAAATGAAACTTTCTTTCGACATGACGTTAAATTTAAAACGAAACAAAAAATTTGCCCGCGACAAAACATTTTACTGGTACAGTTCCTATCAAATGTGTGACCCACTCCTCCCCTGTGCCAAATTGTTCGATTGCTTCTGTCGAATCTAAATACGACGTTTTTTGTCAATTTTTGGATTCGTGAATTTACCATGGTAATATCATCTCTAATGACAGGAAGATGTATTCCAATGCAAGTTTTGTCCTAAATCCTAAATATCTCAAAATCTTTACTTCCCTCGTTAAAATATCTTCATTCTTTGCTAAGTTATGGAGATGATCTTGCCTGACATTTTGAAACAGTAAAATTAAAGCTTGTTCAATCGTTTCTTCCTATATTCCTTAATATGTCATTTCTCTAAACATATGGGAATAGTTCTGGCGAGGACCATAGGGAATTCAAAATTATTTTAGAGAAGCGGCTGTCTTTACTTACGACGCAAGGTCAGAATTTTTCTCATTACGTTTAGATGACGAGATGTTTACTAAATAGAGTCGCGATTGTGCTTTTCAAATATTTTTTTCCCACTGAGATCTGCAGAGACAGTTTTGTACTAAATGATAATTATGAAAGGAAGTGACGAGAATTTCCACACATAAATGTTTTCATTTTCGTGGAAAATTCCTCGCATAATTATTTCGATGATTGGTATGCGTGTTTGTGGAAGGGAGGATGGGGGAGGGGGGAGGGGGTGGGGCATAAAGTTAGGCCTTTTATAGATTATCCTAGTAAAAGAAGCATGTTAAGCTAGTAGCATTGTTTTTTTTTTGGGCGAAATTATGCTAAAATTGTGCTCTTTTTTCCCAATTATGCCCCGTTTTTAAAATTATGCTCTTTGAAAAAATTGCAAATAAGTCCAAAAAAATACATTTTTTATATAATTAGAGGCCGTTGGTCTGCAAGAAAGAAACGCAACAAATCCACAATGAAACTCAAATAAAAATGTGGCTCATGTTGACATGCACACTAGTACTAGACTATACTCTCAAATAGTTTATCTGCCATTTTGTAATTTGTAGCCTTACCTGATGAGAGGTACTGGAACCCACATGACCTACAATGTGACTTCCCGTTCCGGTGCACCCCAGACCCGGGCTCAGACCGTTTCAGACGCCGTTCAGTGATTCACAGTGAACTACAAATGCTACTACTTGAACTAAAACTTAAAACATCGAATAACGTCACCGAGTTCTTGGGAGTATAGATGAACAATGATCAAAATGTAGCATCAAAAATGATCCGGCAATTATCACAATATGCGAATTTTGCTGGCATTGCTACTTGCAATTGGTAGAAATTACGCCAGTTTGCTCAAATCAAGCCAAACATATGCTAGCACAATCTATAAAGGCCTACCTGAAGTAAGACGATAATTCGAGAGTGAGATAGGGAGAGTGTTAGGACTGATTTGAACAATGTCCTTCAGGTCAAAAATCGGGCAGAGGGCCAAAGTGGGGTCATAGTCGGCAAATTTGATGAGTGGGCGAACTAGCGCTATACCTGCAAGGATGGATCAATTGTCCCTCACGACAACCACTGAATTGACTTTGATTTGATGATTTTTTTGTGGCATAGAGGCATGCAACTCATTAGATTACATCGCGCTCGGTTTTTCAGTTTGATTTGCTATGTAAACACAGGTGCATCAAATTTGGGTAATTCATGTATTTTTCTGCGGATTTCAAGCGGGATTGCATCGTCTTGTGGCGCACGAAGTTACCAAAGTTGCATAATTTTTCATTGCTTTACAGGGGCAAAGGTGGGGGACGAACGACCGTCTATTTTTGAACTTTTCGATTTATACGAAAAAAGAAAAGTTCAGTACAACTTTTTAAGGCACTCTCTGAATAGGTTATCAAAAGGATCCTTTAGGAAAATTAAAATGAATTAGGAAATTTTGCAATAGTCGGCGGATTCTCGATATTTATCATAAACTATCTACAGATGGTTGAATATTGACTTATCCTTGCTATCATTGTTTATAACTGAGTGCACTAAACCAAGGGAAAGAGAACTTTGACCGGCAAACTGATGAAAGCCGCGAAATTTTCTCAAAATCTAGGAGTACCAAACATCATTTCTAAGCCGATTACAATCTTTGCCACGTTATGAGAAGCGAAATAGATCACTTGCAGCAAAAAAGACTGAGTAACTTGCGAATGCTGGTCAAAAAAAAATAAAAAAACCTGGGACTTGATTTCTTCTTGCTTGCTCTCCCTTTGACTTCTTTACAAAGAGATAATTCTTATATATCTAAAAGAAAGAAAATAAAAACAAAACAAAACAAAAGAGTGATTCTAGTCCGACGTGTTTTTGTTTTCATTAGGCCGGTAAGCTTTAGTTATTCATCTATTTACTTTTTATTTTTATTTTTTTAAAAGTAAGCGGAGCAACGAATTTTTTCACGCTAAATTGAGGAAACCTCTGGTGTTACTGCAAACGTTCTGTCTGATTTTTACCTCGAAGGAAAGAAAGAGTTCTAAAGGGGAATCAACCGTTGACGTCTAAAAAGCATTATATTAAAAAAAGGAAACCTTCAATAGTTGAATTTTTTAATATGTCATTGACAAGGCACAAAAAATGATTCCTAAGAAAAGAAGCGCTATGTCTCCTATTTATAAATTCGTCAGTACTCTCCACGTACGCTCTTACTTTCGTGCACCCCATCCTTTTAAAATTGATCTAGGTAGCCATATGATGTGGCGGCTTTCCATCCCTGCAGGACGACCTCTTTTCGATTGCTTCATTAGCAAGAGCGCGGTATGAAAACTACAAAAATACGTGGCAAATAAAACGATATACACTTTAAAAAACTAAACGATGGTATGAAAAGTCGGTTCTCGTTCAACATTGCAAAGATTACACACTGGGTAGGCTTTCCTTTTCTACAGTACAGAGAATGAGAATGGTCACTACCCCCCGCGATGCACCCTGGTTAAGAATGGCTTTTTCTAGTCGTAAGCGAGTAACTAATGCAATGCGTGACGTAGGGAAATAAAGTGGTGATATGGTCGATATTCTCAAAAATCTAGTCGTATCGATAGCGAAATTTGCTCTTAATTAGTCTCAAAGCTTGTACGCGACAAACTATAATTCTTTGGGGATTCAGTGGGCTGCCTGAGCTTGATATCAGTAATCCAATATGTTAAAAAAATTGTAAAAGTTACAGAGTGTATACGCGCGTCTACATCCACCTGAGCCATCCGGGAACCCCGCTGTAGTTCATTTAGCTTATACTGAACATCTCTGACTTTGACATGTTCAGGGTCAAGGCTTCGAATATAAATCGTCATGGCAAATTAATAGTATCTTTTTTCTTGGTCAACGTGACGCCTATGATTATGTGCATTGCCTAAAGTTTCTCCAATCTCACGGTAATCAGGTCCCAGCTGTTTCAGACGAATATCCAGTGCACGTGCATGGTAGTCCTTTGCTTGTTCAATTCACCTAGATGATTGTATACAGTACCCAGATTATTGTAATAAGCTGCGACATTTACATGCTCAGGTCCGAGCTCTTTCAGACGAATGTCCAGTGCACGTGCATGGTAGTTCTTTGCTTGATCAAACTCGCCTAAATGACTGTATACAGTACCCAGGTTATTTTAAGAAGTTGCGACATCTACTTGCTCAGGTCCGAGCTGTTTCAGACAAATGTCCAGTGCACGTGGATGGTAGTCTTTGATTGGTCAAAATCACCTAGATGCGTGTAAACAGTACCCAGGTTATCGAAAGAAGTTGCGACATGTACATGCTCAGGTCCAACCTGTTTGAGACGAATGTCCAGTGCACGTTAATAGTATTCCTTTGCTTGGTCAAAATCACTTAGATGACTGTATACAGTACCCAGTTTATTGTAAGAAACTGCGACATGTACATGCTCAGGCCCGAGCTGTTTCAGTCAAGTGTCCAGTGCACGTGATTGGTAGTCCTTTGCTTGGTAAAAATCACCTAGATCACTGTATACAGGACCCAGGTTATTGTGAGAAGTTGCCACATGTACATGCTCGGGTACGAGTTGTTTAAGAAGAATGTCCAGTGCACGTGCATGATAGTCATTTGCTCGGTCAAAATCACCTAGATCCCTGAAT